CTCTCTCTCTCTCTCTCTCTCTCTCTCTCTCCCTCCCTCCCTCCCTCTCTCTCCCTCTCTCTCTCCTCACAGGAATAATTCCAGCTAACGGGAAGACGAAGGTAACTGTGAAGTTCACGCCCATCCAGTACGGGATGGCACAAATAAAAATTCAGCTGTGGATCTCGCAGTTCAACTCCCAGCCGTACGAGTGTGTCTTCACTGGAAGCTGCCACCCCAACATGGCCTTACCGTATGGCTTCTCCATCATGTTTCTGTCTACTCATGTAGTCCAGGCTGACCTCAGACATGCTAAGGAACCAAGATAACTTTGACATTCTGTCTGCCTCCACCTTCGGAGCTGGGGTTACAGACATGCACCCCACACCCAGTGTGTATGGTGCTGGGGATGGGATCCAAAGCTCTGGACATTCTAGACAAGCACTCTACCAACTGAGTTGTAACCGCAGCCCAAATTTTTTTCTTCAAACTTGCTTCATGAAAACTCCAATCCAATGCAGTTATGGGCATTGTGGTGCACACTTGGAATTACATCACTGAGGAGGCTGAGGCAGGAAGAGCGTGAGTTAAAAGCACGTCTGAACTACATAGCAAGAACCTGCCTTTAAAAAAAAATCCAAATTCTCTCTTTCCTTGTAACCTCCTCAGAAATTCATTTTGAAAGCTGGGCGTGCAGGTCAGTCATTGGCCCCTTGCCTGGCAAGTGTGCAGTCCCAGGTTCAGCCCAGCACCACAGTTTATATTTATATTTACATTGATAACATTTATATTACAAGATGAGTCTACGTAGAAGGCTTTAAAGCATAGGGGCAGGTGCTCTGCCGACCCAGCTTAGAGCCCCATCCCCGTTTTGTTTCTGCTTTTCAAAGAGCATAATTATTCTCTCACTAGAAAGGTGAATCAAAGTCACGATTTCTAAAATAATCAGCTTTCTCTGTTGAAGAGCTACAGGCTAGGAATGGATTCTACTAAACCACCAGAGCATCCCCTAGCCTGTTGTGTTCCACACCTCATATTCACGCAGGGAAGGGAAGGGGCTTGCTGCCAGTGCTCATGGCTCGAGCTCCTTACCTGGGACCTACACAGCAGAAGAGGACTGTTGTTCTCTGACCTCCACATTCATGCCATGGCATGTGCACACACACATGCACACACACACACACACACACACACACGTGCATTGCATACACACACACATAGTAAATGTATTTTTTAAGAATGGGAGGGAATTCAACCACTGGTGTATGTATGTGTGCATACATAAGTACATACACATATGTATGTGGTTATATGTCAATATACTGATATGAAATTTGTTTCCAAAGATTCCTTTTGACATACACACTTACTTTTAATTTAGTTATAATATTGATCCACAAGTGATAGTTTTATCATAAAGAACACAAAAGCAAACACTTTGAGCTGGGGTGGTGCAGGGATGGGTTAAGAGTGGTTCAGAATACCGGCTGCTCTTTCAGAGAACCCAAGGGTTCAGTTCCCAGCACCCACATGGCTGCTCACAACTGTCTGTAACTCCAGTTCCATGGAATCAGGTGCAGTCTTTTTGATCTGATCAAGTACACAGACAACAATCATGAACTAAAAATAAATCAATAAAACAAACCCCAAACTGTTGGATTATACACTAATTTATCATGTCTTAAACTCCAGATTAGAAGAGTTCAAAAGATTAAATACTCGTTCTATGAAAGTAAATGTTCCTCCAGAAAAATCAACGTATATACAATTTTACCCAACTTCCACAAAGGCAAGGCCTCAGAAGATGAAGGTAAGTGGGTAGGGCCACCCCCGCCCCCAGTGGAACGGAAGGCAGGAAGAAAAGAACTCATGCCCTCTGATTTGGTCCTCAGGAAATCGAATACCAAGACCTGCGGTTTCCAACAGATCTGTCGAATCCATTCGCCGTGGCAACTGTCCTCAACCAAGAACCAGGAAAGTTGAAGATTAAGGAATTAAAACAAGGTGACAGCAATTGGTCTGCTATAAACCAGTCCCTGGGGCAAAATAAAAAAGAAATGTGTCTAGTCGCATTTATTATTTAGGAACAAAACTAAGTTACATGTCTGTTAGGCGGCATGGTTAGAAACTTGTGTTTGTCTGGGAAATGACTGATTTGATTACGGCCATGATCTCTGCCCGTTCCCGCCTCCAGTCCTGGACCAGGGTGATGAAATCTCCAAAACCAGACAGATGAAGGAGGCACTCTTCGAACAGAAAGTCAGACAGAACATCCTGGAGGAGAGCGAGAACAATCTTAAGTGGTAAATATTGAGGGATAATGTGTAGCAGGTGACAGGGTGACTGCTTTTAGGGGTGGCCTTTGACGCAGGAGACACAATAACACGCAATTATTGATAAACTCCCTTGGCGAATTCAATTAGTCCATCTCCTCCGCCAGTGTTTCTAGCTCAGAATGGGTGGCTATTAGAAATAAATTATTGTAATTAAGACATGTTGTTTCCTACACATAACCGACAGGGCAGGACAGCAGTGGACTGTGCAGGGCTTGGCCCCTCCTCCCTGCCAGCTGTGGCTGCCTGCCACCCAGCCTCTATTCCCAGACCGACCTGGGGTGAGCCTTATGCAGTGAGAGCAGCTGGGGACAGTCCTGGCAGCACAAGTTCAGACAGAAACATTCTTGTGCTTCTTGGAGCAAACGGACTTTTCTATTTGCGTTACTTTAAACTAGAGGACCCCAGGAGCCGGGCCACGTGTTCAGCTTCCGAAAGAACCAGTTCAAATGCACACACATTGTTTTTTCCTAGACAAGCATTGGATTTCTTAAATCGTGTAGTTAAACTTAAAACATTTGTTTGTTTGTTTACTGTGGGCGTGGACCGTACAGACTACGGCGCCGTGGAGGCTAGAGGACGACTTGCTAGAGTTGCTTCTCTCCTTGCTCCACGTGGGTTCCAGAGACTGAACTCGGGGTGTCAGGCTTGGTGGCAAGCCCCTCTGCCTGCCAAGCCATCTCACCTCTCATGTTTAATCTTTAATCTCCTCTAACTTACAGTTTGAAATAGATACTAAATTAATGCACTAGCCAATGGTGCAAGGTTTAGTCACAGGCTTCTGTCACTCAAAACATTTTTATGATTCATCCGCATCTCAGCTTTTGTGGCTAGTTCACCTTCTGTAACTGTGTAATATTCTACTGTGCAGTCTAACACGTGTCAGTCAGAGGCTGTTTTTACATTTTCATCAGCCACACTGGAGAGTTGCGGTTTTTCTACCTCTGCAACACCTGCTGATTTGTATGGCTTAGATCTGCATTTCCCTGACCACTAGTGATGCTGAGCATTTGGGGTACATGTGAGAGAAAGTGTACATGTGTGAGTGTGAGAGAGTGAGTGTGTAAGTGTGTTTGTGTGTGAGAGACAGATGTGTATGATAGTGTGTGAGTGTGTGTGCATGTGACAGAGTGTGAGTGAATTGTGTGTGTGTGCATGTGACAGTGTGAGTGAATGTGTGTGTGCATGTGATAAAATGTGAGTGAATGTGTGTGAGTGTGTGTGCATGTGACAGAGTGAATGAATTGTGTGAGTGTGTGTGCATGTGATAGAGTGTGAGTGAATTGTGTGTGTGTGCATGTGACAGAGTGTAAGTGAATGTGTGTGAGCATGTGTTCATGTGACAGAGTGTAAGTGAATTGTGTGTGATAGTGTGTGAGTTTTGTGTGAATATAAGTGTGAGAGAAAGAGTATGTGAGTGTGTGGGTGTGTTTGTGTGAGAGACAGGATGTGTGTTAGATTGTGTGTGAATGTGTGTGAGTGTGTGAGAGGGAGAGAGTGTGCATGTGGAAGCCGGAAGTCACCTCTGGTGTTGCTCCTCAGATGCCATCCACCTTATATTGTTTTTTTTTAAAGATTGGTTTATTTTAGGTCGGGGGTGGTGGTACAGAGGCAGGTGGATCTCAGTGAGTTTGAGGCCAGTCTGATCGCCAGCCTGATCTATAAAGTGAGTTCCAGGACAGCCAGAACTGTTATACAGAGAAACCTTGTCTCCAGAAAAAAAAAATTTATTTTTATTTTATGTGTATTCCGGTTTGGCCCGAATGTTTGTCAGTGCATTGTGGTACCAGCAGAAACCAGAAGTGTGCTTCAAGTCCCCTGGTACTGGAGTTACCGTCCCTTGTGAGCTGCCATGTGGGGGCTACTAATGGAACCCCAATCCTCTGGAAGAGCAGTCAGTGCTCTTAACCACTGGGCTGTCTCTCCAACCCAACTTTGTTTTCTGAGACAGGTCCTCTGGCTAGCCTGAAGCTCACCAAGCAGACCGGCTGTCCTGGGGTCTATGTGCACCTCCACAGTACTGGGATAACAAGAGCATACCGCCACTCCTGTCTTTTTGTCCAAGGGTCCTGTGGTTGAACTCAGGTCCTTATGCTTGAAAGCAAACACTTCACTGAATGAACCATCTCTCACACCCCTGTTGTATTAATTTATAAATATTTTAGCAAGAATCACTAGAAGATAGGCTTAATTTCTTCTTCTCCTCCTTCTTTTTTGGTTTCGGTTTTGGTTTTTCAAGACATTTCTCTATGTAGCTCTGGCTTTCCTGGAACTAGCTCTGTAAATCAGGCTGGCCTGAACTCAGAGATCTGCCTGCCTCTGCCTCCCAAGTCCTGGGATTAAAGGCCTGCGCCACCACCACCCTGTGATAAGCTTCATCTCATGGGACATGTTGTTCACCCCAGAGCTGGCTCCTTCCAGTTTTCCCCATTCCTCCTTGGTTATAAAATAGGGCTAACACACATATTTGCTAATGGCTTCTGGACGTAGGTTTTTTTCTTTTGCAGGCAGGTGCACCTTGGCAAAGATCACACATCTTTTAGGTATAGAAAGGAGCACTGTGAGGAGCAGCAGAGAGCACATGAGAAGTACAAGGTCAGAACGGCTGCTTCTTCGATATCATTTATTTCACTATGTCTTTTACAACTCCTATTGTATGCAAGACACAGAATCAGGAGCAAGAAATGCATAGAGATCTGAGAGTACCCCTGGGTGTCAGAGCATTTACCTTGCAGGTGTGAGGCCCTGGGCTCAACTGAGAGAGAGACAGAGGGGGGGAGGGGGGAAGGAAGGAGAGGAGGGGAGGAGAGGAGAGGAGAGGAGAGGAGAGAAGAGAGAGAAAGGCAGAGGCTCATCATTCACATATTGCTATTTATAAATCAAGGATGTCTATAGATGACACCAGAGACCTATGCTGGGTCTGCCGGGCACAGTCCCAAGCCAGAGCAAGAGAGAAAGTTCAGATTAAGTAGAAAGCAAGAATTATACGAGAGAACAAAAACCTTCAGACAGAGGAGATGACCCAGACTCAGGCCGAGGTCTGGATGTAAGGCACCTGTCCTGTGGTCTGCAGAGCACAAAGATGAGAGTCCCCAAACCACTGTCAGGGTCAACCCAGAGTTGAATGCCAAGTATAGTCATGTGCTAAGGTGCTAGGGGTGGAGGCATTCGTGTGACCTATAGGGGACCCAGTTCACCCCCCCAAAAAAAAACAGCAAAGCTTAGTAGTGTGAACTTCAGGATCTCAGTAAATAGGAAGGAGAGGCATGGTCAATGATTTTTTTAAATATATATTTTATTTCTAACTATATGTATATCTGTGTGTGAGTATGCACCTACGAATGGGATGCCGGTAGGGCCAGAAGAGGGAATCTGCTCCCCTGGAGCTGGAGTTCTAGGCAGTTGTGAGCCACTCAACACAATGGTAGGCTCCTCTGAGAACCCAGTAACCATTCTTAACTATTAAGCCACCTCTCCAGGCCCTGTGACCAGCCTTTAGGGCATTAAACCTTTTAGACATTACCGCATCTTAGGCATCCCCACCTTTTGGGCACTGCGGCCTTTTGAGCACTACAGCCTTTTGGGAATTACCACATTTTGGGCATCACTGTCTTTTGGGCATAACTGTCTTTGGGGCATTACCGCATTTTAGGCATTACCGCCTTTTGGGCATCATTGCCTTTCAGACATTACTGTATGTTGTCATAAACAGAGTTCACATTGGAGGACCTGCAATCAAGTTACCAAAAAAGAAAAAATGTCCCATGTTTTGTGAGGGCCTGATTCTTAGCTAGCCGGGGGAGGGGGGGTGTGCTCTGTGAAGCAGAGGCAGGAAGAAAGAAGTTGAAGGTCATCCTCAGAGACCATCACTTGTTTCTATTAAAGCTCCCATGTCTGAACTGTAAGAACAGTGAACACTTTAACTTGCTAGCTCTCCATGGCATGGCATGGGTGACCCAGTGCACAGCAGGTTCCTACAAGCTTTATTTTTTTGTTTTTGCTTTGTTTTTTGTTCGGTTGTTTTGGGTTGTGTGTGTATGTGTGAGAGGAGTAGTTTGGGGGTCTAGGGTTTTTTCTTTTTTTATTGTTTTTTATTTCTTTTCTTTTTTAAAATTTTGTTTGTTTTTCAAGACATGGTTTTTCTTTTCTCTGTGTATCCCTGGCTGTCCTGGAACTCACTCTGTAGACCAGGCTGGCCTTGAACTCACAGAGATCCTCCTGCCTCTGCCTCCTGAGTGCTGGGATTAAAGGGGTGCATTACCACCGCCTGGGTTTCTACAAGCTTTAAAGAGAAAATGTTATATATTTGTCTTTGACTTTAATATGTCTCCTCATATAAAACTCTAGCAAGCCCGGGGTGACCCTGTGTTAGAGGAGGAGCTTCAGAGACTCCAGACTGAACGGATCAATAAGCGGATCGTCCGTGACCTGGAGGATGTAAGCAGCTCTCTTCCCTTGGGATCTAATCAAGCCAATTCTTCAACTGTTCATCTCTAAAGACACCAATGAGGTTTACAGAGATCCCGTCACCAGGAGGGAACAACTGTTTTTAGTGTGCTTATATTTCCAGGACACAGGGTACGGTCGTCCTGTGTGTCTTGGTTTCCCTTTTGACCAAGAGTAACTTAAGGAGCCTGGAGAGGTGGCTGTGTGGGTCAGAGTGCAATGCTGCGCTCTCCAAGGACCTGAGTCCGGTTCCCAACATTCATGTCAGGCGGCTCAAAACCTCCTGGAACTCCAGCTCTAGTGGATCTGGTGCCCCCTTCTGGACTTCACTGGCACCTCACACACAGGAGCACACAGCCACACACAAGCACATAATTTAAAATAGAATAAAGTTTTATACAAAAAAAAAACCCAACTTAAGGGAGCAAAGGTTTATTTGGCTCTGAACTCTGAATCACAATCTACTGTTGAGAGCACTCAGGTAGGAGCTCCCAGGCAGGCCTGTGTGATATTCCAGAAACTTACTTCACAGACAAAGAAGCACCCAGAACCTACGGGGGACACTTGCTAGCTGGCTCACACGCAGGCTTACACTCAGCTTTCTTAAATAATTCAGGACCACCTACTAAGGCATTGTGCGACAAGCTCCTGGACCCCCCAACACCACCCTAACCTGCCCACTGGGCAGCGGGATCCAGGTGACTCCTCCATTGAGCCTCTTCTCAGATGTCTCTAGACAATGACAGGCTAAGCGAACTAGGATGCTATGACGTATTTGCAACTAAAGTGTTCACACTTACGATTATGGTCTGGGGAGATGACCAGTTGGTAACGTGTGTGCCACACAAGCTTGAAGACCTGAGTTCAATCCCAGCACCCACACAGAAAGCCAGATATGGTTCGTGTGCCTGTAACTCTGGCACTGGGGGACAGAGCCAGTCTGTTCAAATTAGTGAGCTCCACTTTCAGCAAGAGACTCTCTCTCAAAAGAAAAAAAAAATGAAGTGGTGGCTGACCAGATGGCTCAGTGGTAAGAGCGCTGACTGTTCTTCTCCAGAAGACCAAGGTTGAATTCCCAGCACCAACGTGGCAGTTCCGGAGATTGGGCTCAGGTCATCAGGCTTGGTGGCAAGCACCTGTAGTCTCTGAGCCGCCTTGCTGCCCCGTTTCTGCTTGTTTTGATAGGGTTCTGCTAAGTAGGCCAGACTCACCTCCAATCCACGATGCTCCTGCCTCAGCCTCCTGAATACTGGCATTACAGGCATGTATTATCACACCCAGCCAGAGATCACACTCTAAAACGTTTATTAAATGCTCACGCCAAAGAGTTTATATTTGATTGTAAGATGTACCTATGCTTTTGTATTCATAGAAAATCCAGGAATTTCATCCTAACTTTGATCCACTTGTTAATAACATGTGGCTCACCAGATTCCGGGCACAACGACGGTTCCAGCAAGTAGCGCGCAAGGTAACTATCAGCTCTGGATTGCCATCTTTAGGTGTTGATTTGTCTAGTTGTCAGCAGGGGAATCGAATGATGGCCTTTTAGGAATAATACATTAGAGATGCAGTTCTCATGGTATAAACGTCACCTCTCAAAGTGTCCCATTGAGACGCATCCCACCTCCCTTTCTGTTGCTGTGATACAGCTCTCTTACCAAAAGCACCTTGGAAGAGGAAGGGGTTTATTTGACTGACACTTCCAAGCCACAGTCCATCCTGAAGGGCAGGAACTGAAGCAGAAGCCATGGAGAAACGTTGTGTACTGACCTGCTCGGGCTCGCACTTAGTCGCGGGCTGGATCTTCATCATCAATTAACCACCAACACAGACTTCCACAAATGGTCTGATCTGGGGTATCCTGAAGATTCCCTTCTCAGCTAGGACAGAGTTAAAGCTAACCAGGACAGCAAGGTTTTAGTGTGGTCTCATGTTCAGACGGTCATCATTGCTGTGTGATTGTTACTTCTTTGGTCAGGGTCTATGCCCTAGGGGAACCTTGAACTCACTATGTAGCCAAGGACCTCCTGATCCTCCTGTCTCCCCTCCATGACTGTTGGGATTATAGGTGTTCACCACCACACCAGGGTTATGCTAGAGATGGAACCGGGGGCCTTGTGCAGTCTAGGCAAGCCCTCTGCAGACTGAGCTACCCCATTGCCCACTACATTGTTTCAGAATATTTTTATTACCCAAGAAAGAAGCAGTCCCTACCCATGCCCTTCTTCCCCAGGCTCCTGGCAGCCACTAAATCTACATTCTCTCCCTATGGACTTGGCTTTTCTGGACATTTCAGGGAAATGCAATCACACAGTATGGCCTTTTGTGGCTGGCTCCTTTCACGTCTGTCTTCATTGGTGTCGTAATGTGCACACCATTCTTTTTTGTCTCTGTGTAATGTCCCACTGTTGGGGTAGACCAGGTTTCCTGTATCTGCCCATGCGCTATGGGCAGTTCTCACCACTCGGTTCTCTGAGCGATGCTGCTGTAAACGTTCACACCCAAGCTAGAGGACATGGGGTTTTTCACTCTCCAAGGTATCCACACCTAGGAGACTAATTGCTGGGGTTATACAATGACCCTAAAGCAATGGGTGTGGGGCTAACTGTTTCAGTGGAGAATGGGGAATTTCAGAGGTGACCCTGGGCTCACTGCTTGCCACTCAGAGTCACCTGCCGTGGCTTCCTTCATACCTACCTTCCACCAAGCACATGCGCGGGCTACAGGACTTCCTGCTGTCGAGATGAATGAAGCATCTGGTGGGGCTGGCAGATGGTTCAGCCAGGAAAACACTTAGCATGTAAGCGTGAGGACTGGAGTCCAGCTCCTTAGCTACTGTGTAAAGAGCCAGGTGTGGTGGCCCGTGCCTGTAATTCTGGGATTAGGGCTGCTAGAATAGGATGGTCTGGGGCTCCAGCCGGCCTAGCCAAATCGGAGAGATCTGGGTTCCGGGAAAGATTCTTCTCAAAAATAAGGTGGAGACACAATTGAGGACATTACCCAGTACTCTGGCCTTCATAAACACATGTATTACACAGACATGTACACATACACATGTATGGACACATACATACACCACACCATGAAAAACAGGACAGTGGGACAGAAGAATAAAAGCTCTGGAGCTCTATACAGTACAGGTGTGAGGAGCCGTGTCTGGCTGAAGCCACACCTCTGCCCTTCACACTACCCACATCCTCTCCCAAGAATACCATTCCCGGCTGTGGACCTGTGTTTCCAGTTCCCCTCTCTGAAACACTCCCCTGCCTCCCTCCGGCTCACCCCTGTCCTTTGTACCAACTGGTCTACCTGGCCTCCAAAGGGCAATCCTTCTGGTCTTTGACACACAGGATGTGCAGAGCCTCTCTAGAGTCTTATGTCGTCTGCAGACTTCTTGTCTTTTCCTCTTGAGTGTGGCTTCCCTAGGGGACAAAGCTATCCTCAAGCAAGGGAGCACAAGAATTAAGATGTGGTGTGTTATGGTTAGCAGCTTTATGCTGCTACAACAAATGCCTGGAGTAATCAATTTATAACAAAAGCAGGCATGTGTTGGCTCCGATCCAGAGGTTTCATTCCATCGCACTGGAGCCTGTGGCAGTGCAGAGCATCATAGTGGAGCGTGTCTGCTGGGCTCGCCTCGTAACAGCCAAGAGAAGCATGTATCAGCTCCTAACGTGAAGTCATTCTTTCCAATTCCAGGTCATGCGTGAACTAAGGTTGTTCACTATGCTGACGGCTATCCGTGGTATGGACAAAGAAGACATAATGAGAAAGATTGTCAAAGTCAAGGGAACACTGATACAAGGTAAGGAGAGCTGAGTGATGCTGAGAACCATGGCCTCTTAGAGGTCTCGCCTCAGTGAACTCGATTCTGTCAGGGCCAAATCTCGTCGTAAATTCTATTCATCAGTTTCCAGTTGCCTCTAAAATAAACCGACACCAACTTTGTGGCTTAAAATTACACAGATTCAGGGATGGGGCGATGACAATGTCAGGACCTGAGTTTGACCCTTGCAAACTACATCAATGGCGGGTCCAATCATCCCAGTGACAGTGGGTTGGGAGGTAGGGACAGCAAGGTCCCTAAGCTCCCTGGCCACCTAGTGAACCTTCAGTCCACAAACAAAAGGTAGAAAGCACCTGAGGACTGACAGCCATGGTCGTCCTCCAGCCTCCACACAATGTGCACAGACATACACATGTGTGCACACACATGAACACACAAATGTCACAGCTTCTGGAGATCAGCTTCACGGTCTCAGTCAGCCAGGTCCTTGTCCTGGCGACTGTTGTTGAAAGGCGCCTGCCTCCCTTGGCTCCTGGCTCCTCCCTCACACCACTGTTCCCTCTCATCTTTTATATGAACCCTGCGATTTCCTCAGGCCTGCCTGGGAAGCCAGAGCCGTCGCTCCACCTTGGGAGGTCTAATTTACTTACATCTCCTAGCTCCCTTCCACCATGTGTGAATTTCTGTGTGTAATTGCTTGTCCTTGAGGGTGGGGATACAGCTGTCTCTGGGAGGTACTTCCACAACTACCTTGGAGCTCCATGCCATCTGTGGCCAAGTGCCTTCCTAGTTAGTCACGGGGGTCTGCTCACACCAGACCTCGTGGTACCGTCACCTATGCAGTCCGGTCTCGACTCGACCTCATGTTGTCCGTTGCTGCTCATGGGCAGAGACACAAGGATATATGTCATTATAGTTGCCGAACTCTAGTGTATGCTCAACCTAGCATTTACAGGCAAAGCTCTAAGCCTAGTACTGTCTGTTGTTTCAGGAAATTCTGCTTGTTAGGATTGGGGACATCGTTCAGTCAGTAAAGGACTTGTCTTGCAGCTGTGAGAACCTGTATTTGATTCTCAGAACCCATATAGAAAATGCCAGCCATAATGGCATATGCTTGTAATCCCAGCACTGAGAAGGTGGAGACGGGCCCTGGAGCTTGCTGGCTGGCCAGCCTAACCTTCTTAGCAAGTTGCAGGCTGTCTCAAAAAGCAAAGTAGATTACACCCAAGGAACAACAGTTGAAGATGTCCCATGGCTTCGCACATGGTTATCTATAAAAGCACTCTAGAATCCAATTTTTTCTTTGTTAAATTCATCAGAGGTGTTTTAAGGAAGAATTCGGTGTCTGAGGACTGGCAAGGTGTTTCAGCTTGCTGCTCTTGCAAAGGACCAGAGTTTGTTCCGAGGCTCCACATCAGGCATCTGTAACTCTAACTCCGAGGATTTTGGAACACTCTTCTGGCATCTCCTGGGGCTGCACTCATATACACAAACCCATAATTAAAAGTAAAAAATCTTTTACAAATAAAACTAAATTTTAAGAGAATTGTAACTAAATAAACAAAAACAAAATTAAAAAAAAAAACTAAAACTAACATGAGCCAGATGTGGTGGTGCACATCTTTAATGCCAACACTCCGGAGGCGGAGACAGGTGGATGCCTGAGTTCAAGGCCAGCCTGGTCTACAGAGTGAGTTTCAGGACAGCCAGGGCTACACAGAGAAATCTGTCTCAAAACATCAGAAACAAACAAACAAACAAATAAACAAAAAGGGAACGAGGACTGCGAATGCTGCTCAGTTTGTAGAGCACAGGCCTAACATGGAGCCGCTCAGCTCATTCCTAGCACCCCATCAACATAGCTTGGTGACACACACCTGGAATCCCAGCCTTTAGGAGGTGGAGACAGGAGGATCAAAAGTTCAAGGTCATCCTTAGCTACATAGTAAAAGATCAGGTGGACTGTATGAGACCCTGTCTCCAAATGAGAGGGAAAGAGAACAAATACAAGGAAACTAATAATGTATATATGTATTATGCATGCACATGTGTGAAGACTTGTTTGAGTGTACATATATCTGAATATCCTTTCTAAAGTTTATAAAGCATTTATTATTTATCCATAAAATGTTCAGTATGATATTTTATACATGTATATGTCTTTTAATCATATTCTCCCCATAGCCATATTTTTCTCCTTTCCTCCGACTCCTGTAGATCTCCTCATTTCTAACTAATCCCTCTTCTGCCTTTGTGTGTGTGTGTGTGTCTGTGTGTGCATGTGTGGATGTATTTATGTGTGTGTTGTGTGTGTATGTATGAGAGTGGTGTTTGCTATATGTGTGAGAGTGGTGTGCTGTGTGCTGTGTATGGTATATGTTTTAAGTATTGTGTGTGTTCATGTATCGCTGTGAGGAGTATTGTATGTGTATGTATGTGTGTGTATGCTATGTGTGTTGTGTGTAGGGTATGTATGTTGTTTGCCTATGTTTATGTGTGTATGGTATGTGTGTGTGTTGCATGTGGTGTGTGCCTGTTTGTCTGCATGTATGTGTGTTTATGTGTGAGTGTGCTGTGTGCCTGTCTGTCTGCATGTATGTGTGTTTATGTGTGGGTGTGCTGTGTGCTTGAAAGTATATATCAGTATGGGGGTATTGTATGTGTATGTGTGTGTATGTGTATATGATATATTGTGTGTCTATGTTATCTGTATATGTGTCGGCATATGTTGTGTGTGTGTTGCATATGTTATGAGGGGTGTGTGTGTGTGTGTGTGTGTGTGTGTGTGTGTGTGTGTGTGTTTGGAGACTCAATACATTTAACTAGGACTATTTACAGGAGCATGGCATGTCAGTCACCATACCACTGAAGAAAATAAACATGAATGCTCTGTTGCAAATGGTACTTGGTAAGTGCACAGCTAAAGATGCTCGGTTCACATGGAAATCCCTCCTTCCAGAGCCCCTAAAGACGTCTGACTTTCCCTAGGTGAGAATCCCTACCGATCCCTGAGGGCCCTAATGAGTCAAGATGAGTATCCCTGGCGCTACTCTCTACGCCCTGAGGATGTGCTGTCCTTCGCCTTCCCTTCGGACTCTCAGAGCTACAATGAGCTGGTGGGTGTCTTTCCTTTGTGGGGGAGCAGACAGGATCATGTGGTGTGGGTCGGTTGCCAGACCAGCCAGCACTCGGTCCCTCTACCTCCTCTGAGAGGCTATGAAGAAGACTTGTGCCTCAGGAATTATGGGCAGTAGGAAACAAGGGAATATCCACTGTCATCTGCCCCATGCCTACCGTATCCATGGGTACCATCATCTGCCCCATGCCTACCGTATCCATGGGTACTATCTGCTCCATGCCTACTGTATCCATGGGTACCATCATCTGCCCCATGCCTACCGTATCCGTGGGTACTATCTGCCCATGCCTACTGTATCCATGGGTACCATCATCTGCCCCATGCCCACTGTATCCACGGGTACCATCTGTCCCATGCCTACTGTATCCATGGGTACCATCATCTGCCCCATGCCTACCGTATCCATGGGTACCATCTGCCCCATGCCTACTGTATCCATGGGTACCATCATCTGCCCCATGCCTACTGTATCCATGGGTACCATCATCTGCCCCATGCCTACTGTATCCATGGGTACCATCATGGGCTCCATGCCTCCTGTATCCATGGATACCATCTGCCCCATGTCGACTGTATCCATGGGTACCTGAAGGAGCTTCCTGACTTGAACTAATTTCCAGTCTGAAGCCCAGCATGGGCACAAGGCATTGGCCCACTGATCTGGAACTGGGCCCGAGAGCCGATGGGAAGACAGGAGCAGAATGCCTATCTGGCCTATGCTCAAATGAGTCTCCTGGCCTGGCAAATGGAAGGTCAAGAAAACAACAGCTCTTAGCTTAGGTCCCAATCTGCTAAGGACAGCATGTGGCCCCAGAATTGGACAAGCTAACCCATCAGATTGGAATCCCACCTCTCCACCCCCCATCTTTCTTGGGGATTGATAATGCCTCTTCCTCTTCCTTTATGGACATGATGTTTCATTATTTTAAAAAAAAATGTAGTTAATTAGTCTGGTAACATACCTCAGTTAAACACAAAGGCCTGAGTTTGATCTCCAGAACTCGGGGTTTTTTTTTGTTTTTGTTTTTAAATCAAGCATGGTAGCATGTGTAATCGCAGTGCCGAGGCATGGAGAGGCAGATCCTGGGGCTCACTGCTCAGCCAATGCAGCTGAATGCTGAGTCCCAGGTGAAGGGAAAGATCTTGTGTCAGAAAACAAAGCAGAGGGATGGAGGGATGGCTCAACAGCAAAGAGCCCGAGCTGCCCTTCCAGAGGATCCAAGTTGGTTCCCAGCACCCATGCATGGTAGCTCACAACTGCCTTTAACTACAGTTCTGTGAAATCCAGTGTCCTCCTGGGGACTCAGAGAGCACCCACGCATACATGTCACACTCACACAGGCACACAGTAAAATTAAAAATAAACCTTTTGAGAAGCATAAACTGGTTTTGAGGAACCATCCAGGCAAGGCTGTTTTTCTGTCCTTCACAGGCATGTGTCTACAAATACCTATGTACCTGCACATACGTGAACATGCATACATATAGGCACACACATACACACATAATAATAATAATAAGTAATAGTAATAATGGGAACAGTTAACCCTTACATGGCACTTACCACAGGTCATGTCTTAAGGGCTTTGGCTTCTAGACTTCATCAATCCTAACATGCCCATTTTTTTTAAAAAAAAAAGATTCAGCAAGTTTTAAATTGAGATATCTCTTTAAATGATGGCACATTATCAATCCACCACATTAAGAAAATGCTGGGCCTAGCTGGGCAAGGTAAAGAATGGCATCTGACATTTGTTTGGTACTGGAATGCACCCAGAATCTCTGGGTGCCTGAGCAATGACTGTGCAGGAAGCTCTCTAGAGACCAGCACCTTTAGGAGGCTAGCAAAGTGGAACCACAGTGCTTCTTGGCAAAGGACTCATCTGGCTCATGAGGAGCTCTCCCACAGGTTAAAAAACAAGCTAACCTTTGAATTTTGACCTCAAACTGTCCTAGGAGGTAGACCAGAAGGTTGTGAGCAGTCCCTCCGACAAGGTGACCCCTGAGGAGGGCTAACTTCACCAGTTGCTGACTCCCAAGGGTTCATGAGCTAAGTCCTTCCAGCCTGAGGGAATGACGGATCTGATAGAATTAATATATACTGAGAGAATATTTATTAGATTCATCTACACAATATGACCCAAGTAGTCTAACGGTGGCTCTTATACTAGAGGGGCTGAGAACCTGGTAGCTGCCTGATCCACAGGTTTATATGTCAGCAGTCCCAACCTGTCATGGAAGAGTAGAGGATACCTGGAGAGTCACTGGTTCCCAATCCACAGTGGAAACTCCAAGAATCTGAGTTCTGATCTCAGTAAAGGAATATAGCAGCAGCAGCAACAGCAGCAGCAGCAGCAGCAGCAACAACAGCAGAGTAGATGAACTTGCTGGTGAGATGCCCAGGCAGTGAGGCAAAACTCAAAGTTTCTCCCTCAGACCACCTTCTGCTTGGCTGACATTGGATGGAGCCACCCACATTTAGGGAAGGATTCCCCACCCCACATAACCTGATGGAAAAAACCCTTCACAGATGTGTCCAGCTCTCTTAGTCAGTTCCAGACCCAGTCAAGCTGACAGCCAGGATTAGCCAGCACAGAAGGACCTGTTGCAGCCTCCATGAGAGCCCATAAGATTCACACACAGAGAGACATGGGGCAGGAGTTGCCTTTGCACCCACGGCTCAGATAGCAACTGTGGCCACAGGAAGAGCTGTTTGAAGCATAGAATTATTCAGGTAATATTACAAAACAAGATGAAAACACACACACAGCTGTTTATGCTCACAAATGTTTTTCTTTTCATTTTCCCATGTAGGCTATTGATAGCCTTGGACCAGTCCCAATTAAAAATTCAGATGTTCAAATCAAGCACAATTATCCCTACTTCACTTTAAAGGTGAGGCCTGCACATAACATAAGTTATTCTGGTTGCTTATAGCTATCTTCGATCACCTATCTACTTGTCTGTCTATCATGTGTCTGTCATTGAGAAGGCACACATGCCTCCGTGCCTGTGTGAAAGTCAGAGAACAGTTTTTGGGGGTTGCTTTTGTCCTAGAAATTGAATCTGGTTATCAGTCTTGATAGCAAGCACCTTAACACAGTGAGCCATCTCGCTGGCCCTCAGGTTCCTTACAAAGCGAGCAAATAAATTTGCTCACTTAAATTTGAATTGCACTATTTTGTTAGTATTACTCAATTCTAGCTTATATATGATGACACATTGTATTTTCTCTCTTATTTGATGGTGTGTTGAGCACACCTCAGGTTCTTTTTTTCTAATGTGAATATGGACATTCTTGTGGGTACAGTATATATTGTGCATGTAGGAAACGGTGGCTCAACAGCTTTTAGAAACCATAGGATGCAAGTTAGTCAGCCTTTCTTTTCCTTTTTTTTTCTTTTCTTTCTTTTGTGGTTTTGAGGCAGGATTTCTCTGTGTCGCCCTGGCTGTCCTTTAACTTACTTTGTAGAACAGGTTGGCCTTGAACTCGGAAATCTACCTGCCTCTGCCTCCCAAGAGCTGGGATTAATGGCATGAGCCACCAATGCTGACTAGTCAGCCTTTCTTGAAGTATATAGACTACTGGTGCTTTTGCAAGTAAAAATATGTTTATGTATGTCACCAATGAAGTTATTTGGCATGAGAAAATAATTTAAATACTGACTTGTGCTAGGACTCAGAATGAGGCTCAGGACTGGCCCTGTTAGGCAGCTATCATTAAGACATTAATCCTACCAAACAGCAATGAATTCTTGTGGGAATTACCAATGTCTGTTCACCTTAGATAAGGCACTGATGTCAGACCAAAGAAATTATTTCCGCAGTCTAGTTTAATGATCCAGAATGTTTATTGGACTTGCTTACAGGTGCATGGGTAAGGGGATTCATATAGGAACGTGGATGCCTCAAAGCCAGCTCCAACACTGAAATAAAGTTGCATCTCTAAAGCACCCTGGACAATTTGTAGGCAGCTCAGTTAATCAGAGAGTCTCCTATCCCCAGTAACTGTTTACCTTGGAGAGGAGATTTTTTGTGAATATTGTAAGTTTCAGGGACTTCTTGAGACTTGTGAGTTTCATTCACTACCTGAACCTCAGTGAGGCTTCCTGAAGGATAGCTATACAAAGCAGGCTTTTAAGTGTCACCAATCTGTTGTCTTCTTTCATTCTCAGGTTCCTCAGATATACAAAGTCAAGGGATATGAGCCATTTTCTGTCAACAAGTCCTCAACAAATTACAGACTTCAGAAACTGGCTCGACCTCTGAAACAAGGTGCTGAGGTAATGTATCTGCAACTTCACGAACTCCTCTCACGACTCATGTCCTACCATTAATAATGACAGGTCATTGAGTTGGAGGGATGACTCAGTAGTTAAGAGCAGGTTTTGCTCTTGAAGAGAACTCAGGTTCAATTTTCACCACCCAGGTGGTGGCACACAGCCACCTATAATCCCAGTTCCACGGGATCCAACAGGCATGCACATGGTGCACATACATACAGGCAGACAAATTCATGCACATAAAACAAAATAAGTAACTCTTTAAGAAGAAAATAAGACAAGCAAGCCACTCTTGGTCTTTACACAGGATGAAGTCACCACCATCATCGCTCTACCCAAGCAAGGCACCACACCGCTCTCAGCTAAGCCTTCCATCTTGAGTATGAAGGCTCCGGAGGGCTTAGCCATGTCTGTGGAATATGACCCGCTGTATATTTTCGTAAGTACCAGTTGGCAGACACCTGTGCTCTACATCCCTTTATTTCAGCAATTGCCCTACATGAAAACGGAACCATGACTTGAAAATATGTTCTTCTTTTGTTTTAGTTTTTATAATTAAATTTTTCTTTACTAAATATTTATGTTCACTTTTTTTATTTATCTGTATGTGTGCCAGTGGGTGGGAATAGGAGAGAGTATCAGATTTCTTGGAGCTTGAGTTCCAGTGTTTGTGAGTCATCAAACATGGATGCTGGGATTTGAACTCCAGTCTTCACTTCATGATAAAGCAAGAAACACTCTTAACCCCTGAGACTTTTCTCCAGCCCCATTTTTTTGCTCTTTTCTTTCTTTCTTTCTCTCTCTCTTTCTTTCTTTTTTATTTTATTGATTTTTATTGAGCTCTACATTTTTCTCTGCTCCCCTCCCTGCCTCTCTCCTCCCCTTCAACCCTCCCCCAAGTCCGTATGCTCCGAATTTACAAAGAGATCTTGTCTTTTTCTACTTTCCATGTAGATTAGATCTATGTATGTTACCCAGACACAGAAAGACAATTATCACATGTACTCACTCATACGTGGTTTTTAAACATAAAGCAAAGAAATCCAGCCCCATTTTTTAAAAACGGTGTCTCCTAGCCCAGGATGGTGTCAAAATCACTATGCAGCCGAGAATGACCTTGAATTTGTAACCCTCCTGCCCCTATTGGTACTAGGATTGCTGGTATACCACACCGCATCCATTTTTATGTGGTGCTAGGGATTGAACCTAGGCAAGTACTGGGCTAACAGCTACATCCCCAGCCCTGGGATGCTTTCTCTTCGGCATTTCAGGTCAGTTGAGCATTCCCCACCCTCTGCCTTCTGATTCTGGATGATATGACAGCAACTGCGTGAGCTCCCTCCATGCCAGCTTCCCCACCATGGCAGACTGGGAGCCAGAACCCTCTCTTGCCTAAGCTGCTTTGCCAGAGTATTTTATCACAGGAGGAAAAGAAACTGAAGCAGACTCGGAAATGGATTTGTGGTGTGGGAGAATTGTCTGTATTCTGTCAATCATATTTTAATAAAACACTGATTGGCCAGGCAGGAAGTATAGGCGGGAAAACCAGACAGGAAGTAGAGGTGATGCAATGAGAACAGGAGAATTCTGGGAAGCAGGGAGGTTCCTCTGCCAGTTCTGCCCAGACCACCGGAGAGGAAAGATGTAAGCTGCCCAGCTGAGAAAGGTACTGAGCCATTTGCTAACGTAGATAAGGATAATGGGGTAACGTAAGTTATAAGAGTTAACAAGAAGCCTGACCTAATGCACCAATGGAGTCCTGTGTGTGATTTCTCTTTGGGATTTGCCAGCTGTGGGGTACTGGGCGGGACAGAAACCCCAACAAGCCGGCCCTCATGCTACAGATTTGCTCTTCAAACCCAGTTTGCTTATTTAATAACCCCTCTTTGATCGTGGCTAGAAGCGGTTCCAAACTGTGATTCCAATGACATTTTCTTCCTCATGAAGCCAGCAGATCTAAATAGAATCTAATGAAGCCCTTAAGGCAGAAAATGCATACATGAAGATGGGGATGTTGAAAGATGGGCCAACCTGAGGCTCTGCTCCTGTGCCCAGTTTGCTAGAAGAGTTGACATGCATCCCCATTGTTAGTGCTAGTGGGAGCCACAGAGAGCTCTACTGACGCCCGTCCCAAGCCTGGTACAGAGACGGGTAAACACCATTAATCTGGTCTCCTTCTTGTCCACAGAATCCCAACCCAGGAATGTTTTCCGTGAAGCATCCTCTGACCTATGCAGAAACGCTGATAGATTACCATCTGTGTTCTCACCCCAAGTACAAGTTCACTCATGAGTCCCACAGAGGATCCAGCATTCCTCTCACCCAAAAGCAGTTTCTCCATCATACGGTAAGAGCTGGCCTTGGACTGTGGGGAAGGGCAGGGGACAGGGAGAGTGGGCACAGTGGGAACTGAGAGAAAGAAGACTGGGCTTTGAGTGAGTAAAGGTACCTGCTACCAGGTCTGAGGATCTGGGTTCAATCCCTGGAACCCACATGGTGGAAAGAGACCAAGGAGAGCACTGACTTGTGCATGTTGCCCTCTGACAACTTGTGTGCACACACGAAAACACACACACAGATATACAGGCACAGAAGACAAACATACACATGCACACATAAGCACACGCACACTCACACATTCATGCACATACATGCACATACATGCACACACATGCAAATAAACACGTGTACACACGTGCACACACATACACATATGTATGTACACAAATGTTCAAAATAAATAGATGCAATTTAAACAACAACAAAAAGAAAGTTTATAGCCTTAGCCATGAACCAAGAATGGAGACCACAGTCCTCACACTCCAACTATGGAGGAGACAGGGCTATTCTCAGTTCTGCCATTGTCCATCTCCATCTGCCTTCTGCTGTCTGCTGCCCTTTTGCCAACACCTCGCTCATTTTGACTTAGAGAGGGAAATGAGTACTTGTTAATATTTCGTCCGTAGGAAAATAGTTGTGTGGTACTATGGCTCCGGGCTCTGGTCCCCTCTTAACTGTGGACCCCCCCCAAGTCTATAAAGTCAACCACTTGCCCTTTTGTTCCAGGCACAGAACTCACACAATCCTTGATCTCCCAGCTCAGAAACGTCCCCTTATGCCACCAGCCTCACTCTTCCCCCCGTCCCCGCTGTGATTCACCACTGCCACAACCTCCAGGATGCCAGAGAAAATTCTGATCCAACTTGGAACACCTCAGTAGGTCAGAGAGCTATGGAGATGGCTAAGCCCCACGAGCACGAGGACCTGAGTTCAAATCTCCAGCACCCACATAAATCCAGGCATAGTGGCACAGACATATAATCCCCACGCCAGGGATACGGAAACAGGCGGACCCCTGGAGGTTATTGGCTAGCCAGTCTAGCAGAAACTGCAAGCTCCAGGTTCCGTGAGCAGTGCTGTCTCTTGATTGAGGAAGACAGGGACATTGGCCTCGGGCATCACGCATGCACACATGCACACACACAAACATCCTCAGTGTGTATCCATTACCCACAGAGCGACTCCACTTAGCTGAACTGCTGGCGACCTAATGGTTCCATTACATTGCACTCCGCTGCACTGTCCTCCCTGCAGGAGTGCTACCCATCCTCCTTGAATGTTGCATTAGCATCCAGACAGACTGGAAGACCCCATCTGCCCTCGGCCACCATCACACACCCTGTAACTGCAGCAACTGGTCTCGCTTTAGGGGACGTCAGTCACGCTTAATGAAATGATACATTTGGACCTAACCTTTTCAAACTTAGAAATGGTCAGCTGAATGAAATGAAGGCTGAAGACATTTTCCCACTATGTCACTATGTTTTCTTGGTCCTCTAACAAAAGGTGGCAAAAGAAACTTAAGGAAGGGGGGCGCGGTGGCAGGAGCACGAGGCAGCTGGTCACATGGCACCCACAGTCAGGAAGTAGAGAGCTGGGCGCTGTACTCAGCTCACTTTCTCCTTTTTTGTTCAGTCTGGGACTCCAGCCCATGGGATGGTGCCGCCCACAGCCAACGTGGGTCTTCCCACTTCAGCTAATCCAGCGTTTAAAAATCCTCAGAGACTAGTCGGGAAATGGTGGCGCAGGCCTTTAATCCCAGCACTCGGGAGGCAGAGGCAGGCATATTTCTGTGAGTTCAAGGCTGGTCTGGTCCACAAGAGCTAGTTTCCAGGACAAGCTTCAAAGCTACTGAGAAACCCTGTCTTGAAAAATCAAATAAATAAATAAATAAATAAATAAATAAATAAATAAATAAATAAATAAAACCCTCAGAGACAGCGGCAGAGGTTTGTCTCTTAGGTGACTCTAGATGCTGTCGAGTCAACAGTTGGCATCTACTCTCCCAGCCACCTAACCTTTTCTCTTCGTGCCCTGCCCCTGTGCCAACTTTCATCACAGGATATAATTCCTGGAATCATGAACTGGAAGAGGTTCCAGCCACTGGTGTTCTCCTCCTTGTCTGACTCTTCTAGGACGGAAAACACTGTGAGGTAAGCTGGAGACTGCTGGTCTCCCAAGGGGTGGGGTTACACTGCACATTCCAGAGCCTGGGGACCAGGTGTCAAAGGCCTACGGTGACAAATTGTACTTTCAAATCATGAGGGAGGGCTTGCTTGTCACGGAGCTACGATGGTGGACAGCTGGTTTTCAGAGTTTGAATTTATCTTAATCAAGATACACTTTGTAGCTGGCTAGAGGTGGTGCACGCCCTTAATCCCAGCACCCAGGAGGCAGAGACATGAAGAATTCTGTGAGTTTGAGGCCAGCCTGGTCTATAGAGCAAGTTCCAGGACAGCCAGGGATACATAGAGAAACCCTGTCTTGGAAAAAAACAAAACAAAAATAAAATCCCACACTTTTTAAAAGTAATGCAGTCTAGCTAATCGGCGGGGTTTCAGCACAGGAGAAGTGACTGATCATATAATTCTGCTGAAATATTCATGGTCTATTTTTTTCTTTTTGAAGAAGCCTTCTTTTTGAAATATTCATGGTGCATGAGAGCATGTGCAAGTGTGTATGTGCATGTGCACGTGCATGCGTTCATTAAGTGTGTGTGCATGTGTGTGTACCTGTACCTGTGTGCAGGTACACACATCTATGTGTGCACATGCTTATGGAGGCCAGAAGACAATCTTGAGTGTTCTTCATCAGAAACTCCAACTTTTTTTTTTTTTGAGGTAAGGTCTTTCTTTCATTAGCACCTGGAGCTAACTGATTTTGCTAGACTAGCCGCCATGAGGCCGAGGGATCCTCCTGTGTCTGCTTCTTCCTGTTGGGATTACAGGTGTTCACCACCAAACCCAGCTTTCTTTAGTGTGTTCTGGACTAGAACTCAGGTTTTGGGGATCAAATTCGGGTCCATAAGCTTTCTCAGCAAGCACTTTGAGTCACCCCCCTAGCCCTTATGCAGCATCTTCCTCAGGGACCATGACAACAGCGTCGCTAGGATGTTGAAATGGTTGTATGAGGAAGTATTTAGAATCTGGCGCTTGCTTTTGGTAACTTCTTTCTCCCAAGTTCACAAAACTGCGCAATCAACTCTCACCACTAGATGGCAGCATCAGCCCTCCCCCCCCCCAGCCCCCCAACTCATTTGCAGGAAGACTGGGAATTTTCAAATTGACCCATTGTTTTAGTTTCATTCCTGTTGCTGTGATAGAATACCCCAACAAAAAGCAGCTTAGAGAAGAAAGGGTTTGTTTGGCTCACAGTCCCAGCTTGCAGTTTGTCATCACAGGGAAGTCATGGCAAACACTTGAGCATCAATCACTTCTGCAGCAACAGAATCCCCGCTTGCCTGTTCTCAGCTAGCTTTCTCCTCTTACAAGTTCAGGACCTGCTGCCTGTGGAATGAGGCCACCCACAAGGGGCTGTGTCTTCCTACATCAGTTAACAGCCAAGAACTCCTATGCACGCACAGGAAGGGCTGACAAACCTCATTCAGTAGCTGAGACATAACTCAGGAGTAAAGTTCTTGCCCAGCACCCTCGCTCCTACAGTGGGGAAAATGGCACATGTGATCAGTAAAATAGACTCCGCTGGGCCTGGGTTGTGTTTGGACTCCAGCGCACCCACTTTTAACACACATGGACTCCAAGTGTTAAAAATTAGCCAATTCATTTTTCCAAAGCGATGTCCTTGGAAACATCTTCCAGGGCTGTTCTTTTAGTGGGAAGTCAGGAAGGGGTTGTCTTGGCCCCGAATAGCCATGCATTAAACATAAAGGCTATATCAGTGAAAACCTCCCACCATGACTTTTTGCCTTCAGTTTCTGTGCCTCAATGCTGTCAGGCCAGTTTGTTCCAAGGTAAACAGCCACTGCCTAATGGCTCAAAACCCAGGAGTAGGGCCTGAGCGGGGTGCACCGGTGGAGTACAGGTGTAACTACACCGAGCCTTGGGCTCCGTCCCCAGCAGTGTAGAAACCGGAGCAGGTGGCGCGCCTCTGTAATCTCAGCACTAGGAGGTGGAGGCAGGAGAATCAGGAGTTCTACATCATTCTCAGCTACACAGGGAGTTCAAGGCCAGCCTGGGCTACATGAGACCCTGTCTCAAAAGGAAAAAAAAAATCATTCTTTTCCTATTACGGGTTTATACCAGTTGTTGGATTGAAGGTCATGCTGTTGCTTCTGAAAGCAGTTACAATAATAACGGTAATTCTTTTCAGCTTCTTATTACCGGCCCCAACAGCACCACCAGCTGGGGACCAACATTCAAACACATAAGGCTGTGAGGGACCCTTCTCATGCAAACTACCACAGTGTGGTACTATACCTGAACACAGGGCCTCCTGTCACCCAGGGCTACAGGGGCTCTCAACCACTGAACTGCCTCTGCAGAAGCCACTGCATGTTTGTGTTTCTTTTGTTCTGTGCTGTGAGACCCTTCAAACTGACAGCACACCTGAATGGTCTCAGAATTGCCTCGTGCATAAGCATGCTGATGAGCAAGAAGAATAATGCCAGAGGCATTCGGAGTTTCCTATTGCTCTCATCCCGCCCAAGTCTGGGCTGTGTGGGCAGCATCACACACCACGTACCTTACTGGTGGGCAGCATCACATGCCACGTGCATTACTGGTGGGCAGC